CCTCTTGCGGCGTCTTGGGGCTTCTTGGGGGCCTCTTGGGGGCCTTTTGGGAGCCTCTGGGGGCGTCTTGGGAGCCTCTTGGGGGCCTCGTCCTTCCTTGTGTGAGCGCCTCGGGCCTCTCACTGTGTGTGAGTCGTTCGGGTTCCTCGTAGTGTGAGTCGTTCGGGCCCCTGGTCCTGGTGTGCGTCGTTCGGGCCTCTCCTTGTGTGTGAGTCGTTCGGGCTTCTCATTATGTGAGTCGTTCGGGCCCCTCGTCCTGGTGTGAGTCGTTCGGGCCCTTCCTTGTGGTGTGAGTCGTTCGGGCTCCTCGTGGTGCGAGTCGTTCGAACCGCTCGTCCTGATGTGCGTCGCTCGGGCCCCTCCTTGTGTGTGAGTTGTTCGGGCTCCTCGTGGTGTGAGTCGCTGGGGCCTCTCGTCCTGGGGTGAGTCGTTCGGTCTCCTAGTGGGGGTCTTGGGGGCCTCTTGGAAGCTCTCGGGGCTCCTTGGGGGGCTCTTTGTGGTCTCTTGGGCGCCTCGGGGGGGCCTCGAGAGGCGTCTTGGGGCTTCTTGGAAGCCTCTTGGGGGCCTCTGGGGGGCCTCTGGGGGCCTCCTGGGGGCGTCTTGGGGGCCTCGTCCTTCCTTGTGTGGGTCCCTCGGGCCCCTCAGTGTGTGTGAGTCGCTCGGGTTCTTCGTAGTGTGAGTCGTTCGGAGCCCTGGTCCTGGTGTGCGTCGTTCGGGCCCCTCCTGGTGTGTGAGTCCTTCGGGCTCCTCATGGTGTGAGTCGTTCGGGCCCCTCGTCCTGGTGTGAGTCGTTCGGGCGCCTCCTTGCGTGTGAGTCGTTCGGGCTCCTCGTGGTGTGAGTCGTTCGGACCGCTCGTCCTGGTGTGCGTCGCTCGGGCCCCTCCGTGTGTGTAAGTTGTTCGGGCTCCTGGTGGTGTGAGTCGTTGGGGCCCCTCGTCCTGGGGTGAGTGGTTGGGGCCCCGCATTGTATGTGAGTCGTTCGGGTTCCTCGTGGTGTGCGTCGTTCGGGCCCCTCCTTGTGTGTGAGTCCTTCGGGCTCCTCATGGTGTGAGTCGTTCGGGCCCCTCGTCCTGGTGTGAGTCGTTCGGGCGCCTCCTTGCGTGTGAGTCGTTCGGGCTCCTCGTGGTGTGAGTCGTTCGGACCGCTCGTCCTGGTGTGCGTCGCTCGGGCCCCTCCTTGTGTGTAAGTTGTTCGGGCTCCTCGTGGTGTTAGTCGTTGGGGCCCCTCGTCCTGGGGTGAGTGGTTCGGGCCCCGCATTGTATGTGAGTCGTTGGGGCTCCTTGTGGTGTGAGTCGTTCGGGCCCCTCGTCCTGGTGTGCGTCGTTCGGGCCCCTCCTTGTGTGTGAGTCGTTCGAGTTCCTCGTGGTGGGAGTCGTTCGGGCCCCTCGTCCTGGTGTGAGTCGTTGGGGCGCCTCCTTCTCTTGGGGGCCTCTTGGGGGCCTCGTCCTTCCTTGTGTGAGTGCCTCGGGCCCCTCATTGTGTGTGAGTCGTTCGGGCTCCTCGTGGTGTGAGTCGTTGGGGACCCTCGTCCTGGTGTGCGTCGTTCGGGCCCCTGCTTGTGTGCGAGTTGTTCGGGCTCCTCGTGGTGGAAGTGGTTCGGGCCCCTCGTCTTGGTGTGCGTCGTTGGGGCGCCTCCTTGCGTGCGAGTCGTTCGGGCTTCTCGTGGTGTGAGTCGTTCGGGCCGCTCGTCCTGGTGTGCGTCGCTGGGGCCCCTCGTCCTGGGTTGAGTCGTTCGGCTTCCTCGTGGGGCCCTCTTGGGTGCCTCCTCGAGGCCTGTGAGGCCTCCTGAGGGCCTTGTGGGGACCTCTGGAGGCCCTCTTGGGAGCCTCCTGGGGCGTCCTGGAGCCTCTTGGGGACCTCTTGGGAGCCTCTGGGGTCCTCTTGGGAGGTTCTTGGGGGCATCTTGGAAGCCTCTGTGGAGCCTCCTGGGGGCCTTTGGGGCCAGCTTGGAGCCTCGAGCGATCCTTCGAAGCGCGAACGAGCGATGCCCCCGGAGAAGGACAGGATAACCCAAGATTTTCGTACAATCAATGTTTGTTTCATGAAGGCAGAGAAGCGCTGTTCCCTCCGAGCGCCGAAATGGGGCCGAAACATAGAGTAGATTATATCGGCCACGTGTTGTTCTGATGCATATTGCACTCCTTCCCCAAGTGGCCCCATAGAGTAGATTAAATTGGCCACTTGTTGTTATGATGCATGTTTCACTCCTTGCCCCATTGGCCCCGCCCTCGTTGTAGCAGCGTTGTGGCGGCTGTCGCTCGAGGACATGCAGGCACGCCAGAGATAATGCGAGTGATCGCGTCTGTGTGCGTTGCAGATATGTGAGTCGTTCCAGCTCTTCGTGGTATGAGTCGTTGGGGCCCCTGGTCCTTCCTTGTGTAACTCCTTCGGGACCCTCATTGTGTGTACGTCGTTCGGGCTCCTCGTGGTGTGAGTCCCCTCCTTGTGTGTGAGTCGTTCGGTCCCCTCCTCCTGGTGTAACTCGTTCGGGCTCCTCGTGGTGTGAGTCGTTCTGGGCCCGCGTCGTGGTGTGAGTCGTTCGGGCTCCTCGTGGTGTGAGTCGTTCGGGCGCCTCGTCTTGGCGTGAGGCGTTCGGGCCCTTCCTTGTGGTGTGACTCGTTCGGGCTCCTCGTGGTGTGAGTCGTTGGGGTCTGTCGTCCTGGTGTGAGTCGTTCGGGCTCCTCGTTGGGCCTGTTGGGGGCCTCTTGGAGCTCTTGGGGCGTCTGGGGGGCCTCTTGGGGGCCTCTTGGGGGCGTCTTGGGGGCCTCTTGGAGCCTCTTGGGGCCTCTTGGGGGCCTCTTGGGAGCCTCGAGGGGACCTTTAGCGGCCTCTGGGGGGCCTCTTGGGGGCCTCCTGGAGGCCTCTTGGGAGCCTCCTGGGGGCCTATTGGGGCTATCTTGGGGTCTCTTGCGACCTCCTCAGAAGCGCTAATAAGCGCAGACCCTTGAGAAGGACAACATCAGCCCAAAACCTTCGTAAAATCAATGGTTTTGCTCAGAAGGAAGGGGAACGCGGCCCCTTCAGAAGGCCAAAATGGGGCCAACACCGTAGTAAAATCAATGTGTTTTACTTCAACGACGAGTTCAGGCGCCAAACTCCCTCCCCCCCCTCGGGGCCAGAATCCTCGTGAGGGTCGTCGTTTTTTGGCCCCCCCAGGACTCGAAAAAGACCCCTCCAACCACCCGCGGCGCCCCCTCTCCACGTCCAGGGGGAGGGGGTAGGAGGAGGGGTAAACCCCTCCCCGAAGGGGAAGAAGGGGGGTTGGGGGGTTGAGGACAGAGAAAGTTCGCTAAACCACTCACGCCCAAAGGGCTGGTGGGATTTGCGTCGTCGTGCGGTGCATTCTCACCGCGACTCGTCTCGCATGTCCGAATTCCACATAGCTTAGGGATGGAGGCTGGATTGTTCTCAAGAACATGCTCTCGCCTCTGCTCAGCGGGCTCGATTCTCAACGGTTACACCTCCTACAATGATGGGAAACTCTTTTCCAAAAACGCATGATGGAGCACAAGGTGCGACCGAAGCCGAGAGTGATCGACGTCTAGCATTGTACCAACCGCAGAACTCACGCCATTCCTGTCCTCATGTGGATGCCTCACGTGGCACGGTCATCGGTGGCCCACCCCTTCCTCCGCCCAGCTGTTGAATTTGTGACAGGACCATCGGACGATCACCGATCCAGCCCTCTCTGGTCCTGAGCCGATGGGAGAGCTATATGACCCCCACCATTTCCAGCGTGCGCTTGCGGTGGTGAAAAGTTAACAGATGGACGAGTTCTTCAGGAGGTGACTTTCGGGCACCTCCGTCTCCTCATCCTCCTTCTATGAATCACCAGTCAACCAGTCCTCAGCCATTTTGATCCGTCCTCTTCTTGTTGTTGAGGGGGGGCGGAAGCAGGCTCAGGCCTAGCCGCAATGGGATGTTCAAGGTCTCCACGATAAGCGAGTGGGCGTGCCGAAGTGGTGCCCAGATGGGGGGTGGGGTGAGTGGGAGGAGCGGCGTTCGCGCAAAAGTACGCAAGATAATATTGCCAAGCATGGGCTGACGGTTTCCTGGCACGCCTGACACCAGAATGCCCGAGATCACCCATTGTCAACCCAGGAGAGGGGCCTGACAACGTCCGGGTAATGTTTCGGGAGCCGGCACGCGTCTCCATCGTGTACTGTGCACATTGCTATTCCCATGCGAGCCGACGCACAAACAAACCCCGGACACCATCTTTCGGCTGCATTCTCCGAGCCGGATTGATCTGTGATGGTCCTGGGGCCCGAGACCAGGCGAAAACGCCTGGTGCGAAGCAACTGCAACGCCTGGATCTCAGGGTCCCGACTTGCCATGGGGCCCCGTCTGCTGCAGGTTTGGCCCGAGGAGGTTCCGCGGGCGCGGCGCGCCGCGCGCCCCGAGCGTTGGTCGCGGGGTGGCCCATGGGCGGGCCGCCGGGGCCTGGCCGCGGCAGCAATGGCGACTGGGGCTGGACCGCTGACGGCCGATTTGGCAAGGGCGAGAGGCCATTCGGCAAGGGCGGTCGCGGGCACGATGGAGACCTAGGCCTGGACGCGGACGGCGGGAAGGGGCTCAGCAAGGGCAAAGGCAAGAAGGGGAAGAAGAAGAAGACTCCCGAGGAGCTCGGCTTCGAGCGCGGTCCGGGCGGCCACTGGGTGCGCACAGCCCGCCTGAAAGGGGGCGTATCGCCCGAGGGGGCCGACGCCGTGGAGGTCGGCAACCTGGACGAGGCCAAGGCGGCCAAGAAGGGCGGCGATCGCCTTCCAGCCGGAGAGGCCGTGTTGGAAGTGCTCAGGGGCAACGTCAGGGGGGATGGGCTCAGGGCTCAGGGGGGATGCATCGACCCCCAATCGCCGATAGAGGCCCGATAGCCCACCCCGTCCAGGGACGTGCGGAGTCGCTATCGGCGGCCTGTCGCAGATCTATCGGCGATGCATCGCCGATTCTAGCTCGATAGCTCCCCCCTGAGCCAGTCTCCCCCGAACGTTTCCCCTCAGGTGCTGGTCAATCGCCAGTCCATCCTGGGGAACCCGTTCGGCATGAAAAAGGGCCCTGGGGGCAAGCCCATGGAGGACCCACGCGAGAGGAGCGCCGTCATAGCGGCCTACAAGGGCTACCTGGACGAGGTCCTCGAGGAGAGCTGCAGCGCCGTAGACATCAAGGGGCTGACCGCCCACTACGGCCTGACGGTGAAGGACAATTGCGGCAAAGATTGGGCGGAGCTCTACGAGAACTCCGGCGGCCCACCTGCCGTCCGAGCGGCTTTCCGGGAGCTGAATAGCATGGTCGCCTCCCACAGATCGGGTGTTGCTAGAAGCGGTCCTGGCCCAAGGTGTTCCCCGCCTTGCGCGCCATTCGGGGGCCTCCGGGGCCCTCTGGGCCTCGAGAGGGGTGCTCTGGAAGCCGGGAAAGCTGGGGTCACCTTGGACCAGGGCCAATTCTAGCAACACCCGAGCAGAAAGCGTGGACTCAGGATCCGGCTCCTCTGTCACTGCGTCCCGAAGGGCTGCCACGCGGAACACCTGGCCGTGCGCCTCGGGGACCATCATTGAGGAGAGAAACGCGGTGACCACGAGCAAGATGTCGCGGGATCTTGTCGACGCCGATTGGTCGTGGTCCATGCCAGACGTCGCCGGTTCGCGAGGATGATGCACGAATCGACGATGACTAAGATGGACGGTGTGGCCAAGATCGGCACCGACGTTTCCGCATTCAGCCTTGGACATGGTCATGGTCATCGCTTTCTTCCCCTCCGCAGCAGGCGCCCGCCAACGGCGTTCACGCAGAGCGGCCGACCCCGGCTCCGCCCGCGGCCCCACCGCCGCCCCGAGGCGCGGCCTGCCCGGGCGCGGCATCTTCGAGCAGCGGCCCCGTCCTTGCGGTGGCTGCGCGCGCCGCGGAGGCCGAGTACCCCGACGGCGAGAGCCCCAGAGATCCGATGTATCACCCATCGGTCGTTGAAAGTAGATACTTGGGGATTCCCATCTTCCAATCTACTTTAATCGTCTTCCGAATTGCTTCAATGATCGAGTGGTTTCACCTTGTCCGTCCTCTTTAGGGGGCGGGCAGACACCCAATCAGTGTTCAACGCCCTCCTACTTCATGTTTCTGCCTACTTCTTCCGACCGATGGGTATTGTCTTTGTTTCACACGGGGTCCCCGTCAGTCCCGACCCCCCAGGACTGGTTTTGCACCCCGAGTCGTTCCTCGGCGGCCCCGGGGCCTGGCGAGGGCCCCCAGAGGCCGAAACCGCGAAAGACCTCGGCATGTGCTTCTCCCCGCGGAGGCCGACGACCCCGACGGCTCGGACCTGGCGGCGCGCTTGGGCAGCGGCCTGAGCCTCTCCTCCGAGGCCCCGGCTCCGGCGCGCACGGTTCCAGGTGGCAGCGCAAGCGCCTGGCAGGAGGCGTTGGCTGCGCTGGACGCGCTGCGGCAGGGGGGCAGCGACCCGGGCCGCGAGGCGTACGCGGCCGCCATCTCGGCTTGCGAGCGCGACGGACAGGCGGCGCTCGCTGCGCAGCTGAAGGGCGAGATGGCCCATCCTGGCGGCGCGGTGCGAGGCGCTATGGGGCGAGGGGGGGGGCGACCTTCGAGGGTCAGTCAGTCAGGCGATGTGTGTTTTCCCATGCGCGACCTCGAGGCCAGTTCTGCGTCCAGGGCACATTTTTGATAGTCCCAGGGCCCCCCCGATAACGGGCCCCACAGGCCGAAGTCGAGGAGAAATGCCCAGGTTGCAAAACACATGGCCTCGGAGACCTGGGGTTTTAGCCGTCTGGCGTCTTTTCCCGCGTGGGATCCTGGGCCGCCCTCACTGCCACGGCTGCACGCAGCTCGAACACATGGCCAGAGTGGAGCCATGGAGAGGCCAGGGGCCCAGGGACCAGTTTTGAGCCCGAGAGGCCTTTTTCAGAGGCCCCTGAGCTCCTTGACAAGATCCATGTCTGCGACGATTTGATTTGTGCAATCCCAGCGGTGTTCCTCGATTTCGGCTTCCGGAGACCATCAAGGATCGATCTGGCTGAAAGAAAACAGAAAATTGTGTCCAGGGCTCTGGTCGTGATTTGCAGCGATTTGCCATTTTCTGCAAAGCCAGATCTCAGGGTTCATGCGCCCCGGGAACGTAAAATAAACGGCTCAGGATGAAAAGCTAATCCCGGGGAAGGGGCCCCGACCTCTGGGGAGCCACGTTGAGAAACAACACGGCGTTGGAGTTCCTCCAGGGAGAGGCCCTCTCGAGAAGCTCCCGCGCCCCTGTATGTCAGGGCCCCCGTGCCTCGTGGGCGGAGAACATCTCCGTATTCGCGGCGTCGCGGGCCGGACCTTTGGTCCGCAGCCCCGTGGATAGGGGGCGCGCTTTCGCAGATGTCCCGCGCGGAACGTATCCATGCGACCGCGTGTGCACGGGATCGCGCCGCAGAAGCCTCACCGCGAGGGCGCGGATGTGGACATTTTCGCCGCTCGCGAGCGCCCTCTGAGCAGCGCCGCCCCCCTCACCCCACCGCCTCCTGCGCGCCGCCAGCCCCTCGGCTGGCCGGCGGCCGGAGAGAGCGGGCGCCCAAGGAGGCTGGCGGCCCGATGGCGGGCAGCGCGGAGATGCTGAGGCGGCAGCTGGGCGGCATGCAGGCCGAGGGTGCCAGAGCTGGGAGGTGGGGCCGCCGGTGATCGAGGGGAGAAGAACGCTCCGATGACAGGGAGGCTGCACGTCGATGCGAAGGCGGCCTATGCATGGCCTGGCATAGCATATGAGTTGGTGAGAAGTGCCCTTGGTGGCTGAAGATCTGGACTAAGCGGGCTGCTCCCACGGAGTGGAGTTATCGAAGCCACCCAAGCCACTTGGGGCACGTGTGTCCCACTTGAAGGTTTGTCTGTCCCAGGTATAACCGACCTGAGCACCCACCTGTAACCACGCTATTCCCTTAGCAAGCCCCGCTGTCATCCCAGAACACGATGACCATGACCAAGATTTGGCGGCGCGCACAGGGGGAGGGTGGGAGGGGGAGAGGGCCTTCTGAGAGGGCGTGCTTCATGAATGGCGGGTGACTTCTTGGAATTGGTTGGAGTCTTTTAGAAAGAGGCTTCTTAGAAGCTGGGAGGTCTTCGAAGAAACCCCCCAGCATGTAAGGAGCATCCCACCTTCTTAGATGACCACCCCCCTCGCGCAACCACCATGTGCGCGCCGCCAAAAGATGTCGCGGGATCTTGTAGACGCCGATCTTAGTCATGGTCCATGCCAGCCTTCATCCATTCGCGAGGATGATCCACGAATTGACGATGACCATGGTGGACGATAGCTAAGATCGACACCGACGTTTCCCGCGTTCAGTCTTGGTCCCGGCCCTCAAGTTCTTCCCTTCCAGGTGAGGTCGCGCGCCAGCGAGGCCAGGCGCTCGTGAGGCTGCGCGCTGCGCGGGGCTGCGCGAGGACCCCCACCTCCTCTCGTTGCGAAAAAGGCACGGCGGGAGAGTGGTGACACCAAAACCCACCGGCCGCTCCCCGCAAGCTCTCGCGCGGAATCCACGTCCGACACCTCGGGAAAACATGTGGTACGCTCGATCACAGCATTTCGTGTTGTTCATGGTGCCTGTGTCGTGCAAGTTCCCTGAAATTGCGTGCATGCTAATGACGAAGATGTGATACGATGATGTGCTGGATTAGTTTGTATGTGCACGTGTAAGCACATGTTTGCTTCACGTGCAATGCCAGCATAACATACAAACGCTTGAACTTCAAACCTATAAGACCATCGGGGTGTCCCGATGTCCCCCGAGGTCATAGGAAGATGAGGAAGAGACGGTCTGCCTGCTACCTATTCGTTTTCGTCCCCTCCGCCAGCTCGCTTTCCCTCTCTTTCTCAAGCAGCGATGAGTTTGTGTTGTCGTCGCTGGCTCCAGCGGCGGCACCATTCCAAACATCCGATGCCATTTCTTTTCGCAGCGTGGCTCCCCGGAGTTCTGGACCCATTCCCAGGGACTGGTTTCGCATCCTGAGCTGTTTCTTGACGGTCCCTTGGGGCCCGGAGAGGGCCCCCAGAGGCCGAAACTTGCCCCAAACTTCCCGTCGTGAATTCGTCGGGGGCCGCCTAACGGTGCGGTGACAACACCGTGTGGTGAGTCAGCGGTGATTCGGGGTGGTGGCCACACTGTTTTGGTCTTCCGAAATCCAAAAACCTTGCGGTGACAGACCGTGCGGTGAGGTCGTCGGAGATTCCGAGGTCACCGCACGGTCTGTCTTCGCACCGTCCTGGGACTCAACATGTTGTTACGGCGCGAGGAGGTCAGGGGAGGAGGGGAGGAGAGATCCCGGGCTCCACGCGCGGCTGGCAGCGGTGCACCGCCCCCGCTGATTGGCGGTACGCCGCCGCCAGGTCGTCCCACGTGTCTTTCGCGGAGCCGGGCCCGCCGGCGCGCGCGCAGACCCAGCCGGCCGCCGTCACGGTGATCGCGCCGGGAGGCTCTCCAGCGGGGCTCCTCGGGTCCGGAACATGTGCGTCGCGTGTCGCGGCGCCGGTTTGGGCCCACTGCGCCTCGCTGCGACACGCGAGCCACCTCCAGGTCCCCAAGCGTCAACGTCTCGAGCTTTTCCCAGCCTCCTGCCCCGCGGAGCGGAGCGACACGCTATCTATCAGCTCGCAGGGCATGGCGTGCTGCCAGGGCCGCCGCCGCGACACGCTAAGCAACAGTTCACCACCGTAGGGCTCCTCGGGGCCTCTTCCCCTGGGCTGCCCTCTCGGAGCTCCTTCTTCCCAGGGCGGGCGGGAGACAGCAGCGATAAGAGGATTCTTCCGGGGGTCAGGGGGAGTGCAAGCAGCGTGGGCAGCAGCAGGATCACGAGCAGCTGGAGCCGCAGCCACCTGCACACACTTTTAAGCCGGCGGCGCAGAGGAACCTCAGGCGCGGTCTACAGGTGACCACGTGCACACACACACACACAAACCGCTGACCGGAGCTCCGGGATAGCCATGCTCTCACAGGGCCCCCTAAGCGAAGATTTTGACATAAACCAGGACGTGCTCTATAATACTTGTATCGAAACATTCTAATATTATTTGTTATCTCCGGATGGAATTCTCAAAGTCCTGATTAGCAATGTCCTGGCTTAGAGGCCTCGATGCTCAGCAACAGCATCAGGCTGTGGGTGTTTCCTGTGGTGCAGCCCGCGGCGGCCCTTCCGGGCGCAGCCAGGACTTTTCCCAGACCTCCACTGTATCGAACAAATCTTGAGTACGGACGTTTCTCAGCGCTTGCGGCCTCGGGGGGCCCTCGCTGGGCCCTGGGACCGTCAGAAAGCGGCTCAGGAAGCTGGCATTGAGGAAGGGGTCGGGAATCTGGGGTGGGGGACCTCGCATTGAAAAATTCAAGATGTCGGATGTTTGGGATCGTGCAGACTTGCGGTTCGAGGGCGCGATTGACGGTTCTCGGGAAGGTGCTGGGCTTGTTGTCGCGGGCTTTTTCGGGGGAAGGCCCAGGTGGGTGGGCGCGATTATGGAGGCTCCCGTGTGCCACCAGGCTTCCCTCGGTGTGTGATGTCTTGTGTCAGGGGCATTTTTCCTCCAGCTGGAAGGCAAGTATCGTCTTCAGTGATGCAGTATCGTCAATGCAGTATCGTCTCCAGGTCCTTCCTCGGGCGTTCCACCTAAACCTAGGCACGCAAGACTTCCGCATGCCACTCGACGCTCCCCAGTCGACTCTACGCCCGACTCTGCGAACAGAGAGGAATAATCGGGATGCGCAGGAAGCAGGGTGTGGCCCGAGCGCCGCCAGTGTGCCCTCTCCCGTTTCCTCATCCTCCTCTCTCCTCCACCTCCCTCCCCCTTTGTCCTGTTGATTAAGTTCTTCCTTTGTCTCCTTCACCACCCTTTACTCCCTCAGTCCTCTCTCTCCTGCCTTCTTCATCCCCCCTCTCCCCAGACCCGCGACGCCATGATGTTTGTCACGACGTCGACCCACAGAGGTCGGGACCCCTTCCTGGGGAGCAGTTATTCATCCTGGGTGGTGTTTTAACGGTCCTGGGACCCAGAGAGGGCACCCAGAGGCTGAAAATCGCAAGATCTGTTTGTCAGATTCTTTTCACGACGCCAGGGGTATGGGTTCTCCTCTTCCTTTCGCGTCGGGAGGCGGTACCGGCATCAACGGCGCCGTCTACGCTGAGCTGGGCCGCGACCCCCGCTTCAACGTCAGCATCGTCGGCCAGTCCCGCGCGCCCTACGACTGCTACCCAGAGGACTTGTTGGCGGCGCGCATGGGGGTCATGGCAAAGGGGGGCGGTCTTCTGAGAGCGCCTACCGCTCATCAGAAGCCCCCTGGCCTTCTAGCTAATGAGCCAGCTTTCGAATAATAAAAAGCGGCGTAAGCATAAACTGTCGGAGATCCGCGCGGATTTCTTAGATCTATGCTGAGACCCCCTGGCGGCGCCAGAGGCGCCGTCAGGGGCGCGCTCCGCGCGCCAGGGAAAGGGACCAGCGCCGATCCAACGTGCGGACCTCCAACAAGTTTATGGTTGTGCTGTTGCTTCTTCTTGGTCTTCTTCTATTCTTGGAAGGGCCTGGTTCCTTCTAAGAAGCCCCCTGTATTCCTAAAAGGCCGCCATGCTCGCCCCACCCCCTTCTGCGCGCGCCCCAAGGATTGGTCCCACGGCACTGGCCCGCCGAATCTGCAGTCTTTCGCGCGCGAGGTGCTAATGAAGGGCACGATAGGCAAGACCGATCTGCTGGTTGTGGGCTCGCGGGGTGGCCAGGTGGTGCTCCCAAACTTCTGGGCGTCGGGCGCGCGTGTCCCGCCAGCAGTAGTCATCAACGGTGGCTGCGCCATGAAGTTGCCCACGCCCGTCAAGTGGCCGACTGACGCGATTACCTTCATCTTGCTCGGAGGGGACGACAACTTCCGAGGGCATTTCAGCCACCAGCAGTACGTCGCCGACGCCAAGAGCCGCGTGCCCAAAGGCAACTCCACTACAGCCATCCTCTATGTGACAGAGATGCAGCACATGCCACAGGCCGCCCTGCTCTCCGCCATATTACCGCACATGCTGACGGCGTTGCAGAAGTGGGAGGAGCGTGGCACCGCGCCGCTGCAGGAGTTCCGCCCAATCCTTGCGGCGCTGAACCGGGACGGTTGGTCTGGCCGGCTCCTCCACACGCGCACCGCCGGGGCCTGGGAGGACATCGCGTTCAGCCCGTGCGAGGTTGCACGGCTGGCCCAGTCCCCCAGCCGGTCGCCTGCGTGCACAGACGACTCCTCCGAGTCGGCCGAAGAAGAGCCCATAGAGCTCTCGAGGCGCGACGAGCTCAAGGCACTGTGGAAGGCCGCGGCGGCAACGGCGCGGCCCAAGTGCGGGGCGCCCGCGGCGCGCGACGGGGCGCTCTTCGCTGCGGTGGTGCAGGCGGCCACGGCACAGGCCGCCACGCAGCTGGAGACCACCGGCGCCCCGCCGGCAGCCGCCCGGCAGCCACCGCTCTTGCCGGTCAACATCGCGGGCCGGGGCGACGCCAAGGCTCGGTACGAAAGGATTGGAGTGAAGACTGACAGCATGTCCTGCAAGTGTTAAACAAGACTCGCTGTCGGTGCCGCCGCGGGCGTTGTCCATCTGAGACAGAGGGCAGCCTGCCCAACAGCGGCCGCTGTCGGTTTTGGACCACATGTGTCGTCGGGCATCCTACCCATTTTTTCCGCACCTGTTTCTGGCGTTCACAAAAGAGCTCCGCGCGGATCTCTTGGATCGGCACTGGAGCCCCCTGGCGGCGCCTCCAGCGCCGCCCCTGGCGCGTTCCGCGCGCCAGGGAGGGGGGTCCAGCGCGGATCCTAGAGATCGGCGCAGACCTCCGAGAGTTTGGGCTTATGCCGCTTCTTCCTCTCAAGGCCTTGCGCGGCGGGTACACGCCGCACCGGCTCAACCGCGCGGACCCGACGCCGATCTCGCGCGCGCTCGGGCTCGGCAGGCCGAGCCCGTGGGTCTCCCCGAAGAGCTCCTACAGCACTGCCCGCTACGAGTTCTTCACGCCCGCGGAGGTGGCGACTGGAGGGGCGTGAGGCCGGAGCTTCCGCCCGCCGCGCCTCTCGCAGCCGGTGTGCGAGAACACGCTCTGCTCCCTCGGGTCGGTCGAGAGTCGAGAAAGCGGGGGCGGATTTCGGGAGAGGCAGGGGCGCGACGGGGCGGACGGCGTGCGGGCGGTGGGCCCCGAGAGGCCTGCGGCGACACGGGCAGGGCGGGGTCAATCGGGCCCAGGATCAGGATCAGTCACTGCAGAGCGTTCCCCAGAACGCTCTCAGAGCGCGCCGGAAGAAGGCCGCGGCATTCAAAACATGTCCCTCAGGACCGCCGGGTCTCAAAGATTCCCGATTCTGCCCGATCCGAGCTCGTCTTGATCCTGCCCTCTTTTCAGGGCGCCAGTGGCGGAGAGGGAGATCAGCGGCCAGGGTGGTCAGGGGTGGGCAGCCGGGTCGCCCGCAGGGGGCGCAGAGGTGGCCGAGCTTCGCGCACCGCGGCTTTGGCAGGAGAGCCGTCCGTCCGTGGCCGCTCGAGGTCTCGGCGATGGCGGCGCTTCGCACATCGCGGGGCGCGGAGCGCGAAGTTGGGTGGCCTGTGGCGCTGCGGGGTGGGGTCGGGGTGCTGGCATTTCAAGAGGGCCCCCGCCTCTTGGGAGGCGCAGGGGCCCTGGCCAGTCGCGGGGCCCCCCTTCGTCTGAGAAGCCCCTGGACTCTCCGAAGGCGGCCCCCCTCGCCCTGGCCGCTCTCGCGCGCTGCCAGGGTGGGCCGAAAGGGGGGGCGGGGGAGGGTCGTGGGGCAGACAGGGTAGGCGACGCAGTCTGTGCCGGCACGGTCCAATTCGATGCGCACGAATTGACTAGACGAATTGATTAGGTCTAGGAACGTTTCTTGCTACCAGTTTCTTGCTACCAAAGTGTAGGCGTGAGATGGCCACGGGATGGTAACATGAGCCGTCCTGGTACTTGGCGGGTCCCGAGCGTTTCGCACCTGCATGGGCATGGTGCCTCGGGAGGAGCTCGCTTTGAACTGGCCACGAAAACCTCGCCTTGTACGCAGACGGCTGACAGGCCATATGCAGACATTCGGTTTGACATTGCAGCTGGTCGCTAGCTTGAACAAATCGGCATCGCGACTGCACGCCATTACGACTGCACGTTAATGTGTTCGACGTGCGCTTTTCACTCCAAATTTAATCATTCGTCCGAGGAGCTGGAGAGCAGCGCAGTTCGGCGGATTAGGCAGTGAGGATCACGTATGCGGCCAGGGGGCGCCGCTCAATCGCAGCGGACGCTTCCCCGACACTACGACCTCCTTCAGCACGAGTGAATTGTAAACAACAGGGTCGAAGATGTTTGCCCGCCTTGCCTGCTGCACCAAGCACCATTCGAGGAGTGTGGGATGGACGCACGGCAGTGTTGTGTCTGCCTAGCCGTCCGCAGGATTGAACGAGCCGTTCCCGAACATAATTCATGCCAGGCTTCCTTAAACCGGTTCCCCGCGTCCCCAATCTGCACCCAGCTTGTGACCTCACCGCCAACTTTTTTCATAGCTCTTCGTCGATGACGCCAGCGGCGAACTTCCGCTGGGCCCAATTGGGGCTAAACGCTGGTCCAAAGTCTGTCCAAGCTATTGGGCTATGTGTTCCCCCAGCCATTGCGGGAGCCTCTGGGAAACATGTGGGAAAGGAAGGGATAGGAGGAGGAGAGGGAGGAGACGGAGGAGGAGGAGGAAGAGGAGGCCTCCTGGGGCCTCCTAGGGGCCTCCTGGGGGCTTCCTGGCTTCTTGGGGCCTTCACTGGGCAGTCTTGTGGCTCTGAGGCCCTTGAGAGCCACCTTGAGCATCTCTGGGGCCGTCTGGGACCCTCTCGGGGCCGTCTTTGGAGCCTCTTGGGCCGTTTTGGGGCCCTCTTGGTTCGTCTTGGGGCCCACTCTGGGGCTTCCGCCCCCGTCTTGGGGCTGACTTGAAGGCCTCTGGGGCCTGGGGCCTCCTTCGGCTGTTGGACGCCCGAAATGGCGAGAACAGTAAAATATGTGAGACACACTGAAACAGAAATGGTTTGTAGCCTTCTGGTGGCCTCCTCGAGAGCCTCTTGAAGCAAGTTAGAGCGTATCAGGGTCTCTTGGGCCGTCTCGAAGCCATATTGGGCCCTTTTGTGTCCATGTTGGAGGCATCTTAGGGCCATGTTCGGCTCTCGTGGCGCCATCTTCGCCATCTTCGAGGCGTCTTGGGGTAAACTGTGATGCCAGATTTTGCAACCTTGGCCATATTGGATGCCTATTGGAGCCATCTTAGATGAACAACCCACAGTATATGCAGCTGCAGGTACGGGAAGAGAACCCAGTGGGAATATTGTGGAGGGGTTGAACTGGTTATCACTGGGCACGCCCAAACAAAAACGCTTGCAAGCAACAGGGGGCGGCGGATCTAGTGGCCTCTGGTCCATCCCGCCACTGTGCCTGGGTCGTGGGCAAGGGGCTTCTCAGTTGCTTACTGGGATCTCTTGGGAAGCCTCTCGCGGGCAGATTGGGAGTATTAGTTGTGCATCTTGGGAGCCTCTTGGGGCATATGGGGGCGCCTTGGAGTCATGTGGGCCTTTGGGGGGGCCGGCTGGCGATCTCGGGGCCCATCTTTGGGGGAAAGGCCCGACGTGGCTCGACATGTCGGTTCGGGATCTGCTCAAATCGGTCAAACACGTAAGGTCAGTCCGAGATGTTGGCCTCTTGGGGGCCCTCTTGGAGCGTCTTAGGGATATCTTGGGCCGTCTGCAGTGCATATGGAGCGTCTTGGGGCGCTCTTGGGCCGACTCGGGCACCTCTTGGATCTTCGTTGGAGCCTCCTGGGGCCCTCTTGGCACGTCCTGGCGCGCTCTGGTCTGGGGGAAATGTACGCGGCTGGCCCCAAAAGTCAGGCGACAAGCCACAAGACATCCAGCATTCTAGGTTCGGTTCCCTTTCATTACTGGGCACGGGGAACGCGAAGGGACCTGAGGACACTCCATTCAGTGCCTAGCGGCACGGTTGCGTGCAACCTTCTACAAGATCAGCCCCAACGGTTATATCATGTCAAGACGCGCCATGCCATCCCATGCCATACCATGGTTTGTTGGTAATTGTTTCTGGACTGCAGGATAGGAGCATGCGCGACGCCGCATCTCGTGGCTGCCGCATGGTGACACGATGTACGCTTCCTATCAGGCACCCCGAAGCCACCACAGGGCCTCAATTGCATTTCTCCGACTATCTCTTAGCGCAGGTCATGGCCACCAGCCGAGGTTGTGCGAGCCGCGGGCGGCGCGAAGGGGACCCAGCGATCTCCCAGAGTACATGCGCTCGGTATCTGGAGCTTGGGTGGCTACGCTGCCTCGGGAACTCCAGGGGACTACAGTCAAGACGTTGAATTGAGGATCACTTTGGGTTTGGGAGGGGCTTCCGTTTTCGGGCCGTTCCTTAGATCTACGTCGGGAAATTGATTCGTTGCCGAGGCTAGCCGTGGCCAGAAAAGCCCCTTCGTTCCTCGTTCAGAGCTCCTTCTGGTAGCACGATGACTGTGCCCAGGCTGTGTCCCTGTCACACTTACCATCTCGGAGGGCTGCCAGAGCCCATATTGCCCTCGGACCGGTATGATCGAAAGCGGCACGGAAAGAATCGCAGGGTGAAAAAAGGGGTCCGCGACAGGGGGTCTGCAATGGGGGCTGAATGGCCCATGGATGTTCAATAGATCGCTGATGTATATGATCGGGTTTGATTGACATTCAACGGTGGCGGTCATATAAGGGCCAGTCGTTCGTGCCCTCGCGGTGCCCGCGCGGGCAAACGCGCCGTCCATCCATTATCGTTCATGCGTGCGGGCGGTCTTGTATATCGCGCGTGGGGCGGCGAAGTGGAGTGCACATGTGTCTTGATTGTGCGATTGATGATCGCGTATGTTCCCAAGCGATGTCTTGTCGACCCCCCTAAGACAGTCCCGCCATTTTCCAAAGATATAAACTTACATGTCCAAGAGTGTGAACTCACATGATCCTTTTTCCCAACATGTGAATTCACATTCTGGCCCTTTTTAATGGAAGCTGATTTACTAACTTTTAAACTGTGATGTCACATTTCCCTTTGTTTCAGAGTGTGAATCCACACTTTCTTTTTTCCCACAATGTGAATTCACATCTTGCTTTTCCCCACGGTGTGAATTCACAGATTGCCCTGGCCTTCAAGATCCCCAGAACTGAGGCGCAGTGTTCCGCATGTCAGATTAGCCAGGCAGGGTTTGACACTCACTTCGCCGCCTTAGATCATTTCAATCTTTTCTATTTGCGCCCTCAGCACACGTTGCCTTCGTCACCTCTCCCCAGCCTCCCGCCTCCTTGCTACGTTCTCCCTCAAGTCTCGCGTGATGGTGCACGCGGGGAGCTTCAAGTGGTTCCCGCGCCGAGCACAGCAATCGAGGACGAATCGCCCATGCGTGGCCCATAGAGCCACCATTGCCGGGACCGTGCGCCCGACCCCCACACTCACTTTCCAAAAAAATGGTGACGAAAACGGACAGCAGCCCTTGCCCATTTTAAAAAGGATTTGAAGTTAGCGTCGCCGCAAGCATTGCCCATTTCAGACAGAAGGTCGCCTGCCCAACAGCGGCCGCTGCCCGTGTTGAGCAACATTTGACGTTTGGCATCGTACTCATGTTTTCCTACCCATTTCGGGCACGCCAGTTGGTGGGCAGTTTTTTCCGGTGCAGTGAGGCAAGGCGGGCGTAGCAACGTTGGCCCCCATCACGTCGTTACCAGAAGCTTGTTGATGGGCGTTGGTTCTTTCAAGATCAGCCGCATGCAGCCCTTGCGCCATTGCGAACGGTGCCACGCCGAGAGTGATGAGCCCAAAATGCACTTGAGGGCGCGATACCAGGAAGCTGGATGCACATGACGTGACTGTCTTGCCGGCGCGGCCGCACGTCTTTTCAGCGTTTGGCGACCTCGTGCGCCAGCCTCGCCTGGCGACGCCCACATCGGGGTGTCGCGAGGTGGGCAAGCGGGGCGCCTTCCCGGAAGGCAGGGGAATGTTTAGAAACCCTCCTGGTTTCTGAGGAGCCGCGTCAGAAAACCCCAGGCCCTCTTAGGACCGAAGGAGGACACTGCCATCTTGTAAGCCCCCGCCGGCTTAGGAGGCTTCCCCCCTCGCGCCACCCCCGTGTGCAAGCTGGCAGTTTCCGCGCGTGCATCCACCGTGTGATTTCCGCGCGCTCACGCATGTCAGCCCAGCCGCATGCCTCGCCTGCCCCACATGCCCAGCGCGGTGCCGCGCCGCCGACATGCTCCTCGGCCCGCTCTTCCGCCCGCTGCTCCACTCCGCGGGCTGGACCTGCCCGACCTGGTTCGGCCCTTCGGCCGCTGCGCCGGCATCGGGGCACGGGCCCGCGAGGGGCCCAGGAAGCAGGGGGAGACTGTGTTTTAACCTCTGGCGCGTCACGATCGCTACCCCGGCCAGACGCCCCCCCCCCCTGGTAGCTAACGTTAACGACCGTACTTAAGGGGGCGGGCCTGAACCCGCCCCTCGCATGCTGGTGCTCGCGCGCATACTGGCGATCGCAGTGCACCCCAGCCCCGGCGTGCCGCACCCCGCCCAAGCGTTACCGTTAACAGGGGGAGGGCCCCAACCTCCTTTCCCCTTTGGGTAACGGCCATTATCCGAAACAATAAAAACAATATAAGGGGGAGTCGGGGCGGACGATCAGAGGGCGAAATGGTACGGATACCGCTGCTCGTCCTGGAGAGTCCTCGTCCTCGTCGCCCACGGCTGGATTCTTCTCGAAATTCTGATCAGGTTACACCCTGGGAGAGGTCCGTGGGGTAGCGGTACGGGTATTTTCTTGTCTCCCCAAGAGCAAACAAGGGGAGAACCGGGACGGACGATATCTGCTGCACGCCGCAGCTACAGAAAAAGGGAGAGCTTGGCGGCACGCCTTCTGAGAAGTGGGCGGCCCTCGCCGTCTGAAAAGATGGGGGCGTCTTAGGAGCCAGGGGGCATCCTGAAGCGCCGGGAGAGCCTAGACGTGGTTCTCTCGGAAGACTCTTACAGTCCTTCTAAGAAGCCCCCGGCCTCTTCGAAGGCCGCCCTCCCTCGCGCCACCCCCTGGTGCGCGCCGCCAGAGAGCCGAGTTGGGTCCAGGGTATGGGGCGGGAGAGCCGGGGCAGCGTGAAGCTGCGTGCGGCTGGCTTCGGCCCCGCCGCTGGGCACACCCCTCGATCATGCCACGGTCGCCTCCAGCGCCTCCAGGGAGCTTGGAAAGCCAGCTACCTGGCGCTGGTTCGACAAGCCCCCCGATTTGCTATCCCGGTCGTTGGGTCTCTCCTCCAGAGTGTCCGTCGGCGTGTACGGTGGCACCAGCAGGAGAAGTGAGGAGGAGAGAAGGAGCAGGATGATTCTCCAGGAGGAGGACGAAGAGGAGGGAGCGAGAGAGGGAAGGAAAGGAAGGAAGCCAGGAGCAGGGGGAGGAGGAATGCCTGGATACTGGCAGCTGTACAGAGCAGCTGCAACAATGGAGACCTGGAGTGGCAGTGGCGATGGTGCGCGAGTTTGCACCTACCGAGGCGTCGCGAGCACTCTTCCAGCCGCGGCAGCTGCAGCATCGGGTTGCGGGACTCCCGCGGGGCCGCCCGCCGGGTAGGGCGGTTATAGATTGCACCCATGTTGTCTTCGAGGTTGAGATGTGTTTCCATGTTAGGTGGCAGCTTGGCTTGCCCCGGACGACACTGCGGCGCGAGACGAGCCCGATGGCATATCTCCTGACGGCTGCCTTCACCTATTCGCGCCCCAGGCTTCTTGGCGATGGCCTTGGGGCGATGCGAGCCTGCTCCGCCAGACCCCGTGCCAGACAGCTGTCGTCCCGCACCGTGTGGCGGTGGAAGCGCGGTGCGCGCCGCATCCGTGAAGGCTGTCATGAAAGCAACGGGCACTCCGCTGGAGCAGGGCCCCGCAAGCCTCGTGCCCTCGCACATGACAGGCTTCTAGTTGACCTCGGCCGAGTCCTGCGCGCTTGGTTGCGACGCGGTGCGCCGCGGGCGGGGACGTTGTGGGCGTGCGTAGGTTCGTGGACGGTTTTGGTGATGGTTCCCCTCTCCTCCTCCCGAGCGCCCCAGAGCGGACCCGCACCGAAGGCCCAGGCCCTTCGCCAACCAGGGGCCAGGGGCAACGCCAGGGAGGGGGATAGGCTCAGGGGGGGGCGCATCGACCCCCAATCGCCCATTGATCGCCAACGGGGGCCAGATAACCCGCCCCACGATCTCTCGGCGATGAATCGCCGATTCCAGCTCGATGGTGTTCCCTCCTGAGCTAGTCCCCCTGTGACGGTCCCCCGTCATATGCCCTCCTCGATCCCTCCCTTCCCTCCCTCGCGCCCTCGGTCGTTCCTCTGGGCCCTGATGATCAGGGTGGCGTCCCATCTCTGCATTTCCTCTCCCTCTCCCCCTCCCTCTCTGCTTTCTCTCCTCTGGGGCATGGCCTGCACGAGCCGAACAGGCATGGACAGCGCTTCGGACAGGGCATGAAGCCTGAAGGACAGTTGCCGGCCGCCTCCCTCTTCCTTCTCCAAGAGCACCTCCCGAGCCCGGGGGCGGAGCCGCCGTGCGGCGTTCCCAGCGGCAGTCGCTCCCGAGGTCCAGGAAGCCTTCGCCGACCGAGGGGGGAAGGCGAGGGCTCGGGTGGCCCCGCGGCCGCCCCCCGGGTCCTTTTTCCCGGAGGGGCTCGGCGTGTACGCCACGTCGCTCGAAGGACCAAAGTCGGAATAGACATGGTTTCTCGGAGCCCTGGCTGGACTTCTTGGAGCGGCATTGGGTGGGCCCCGCTGGCGGCGCCTCCGGCACCGCCCCTGGCGCGCACCGCGCGCCAGAGAGGGGGGGTCAGCGCAGATCCAAGAAGTCCGCGCGGACCTCGAAAAGTGTATGTGTATGCCGTTGTGGTTTCTTCTTCTAGTCGTGTGTGGGGCATAGCGAGAACGCCCACCCAGACAAGTCGACTGAGGAAATCTGCACGGGTCCACTCGACATTGGCATACGAGTGCTTTGGTGCAGCCCCTGGTCGGTTTCGCTAATCGATGTGCGTTTCACCGGATACATTCGGTGTCTGCCGGACGTCGATTAGTGATTCCGCCCAGGTGCACTCGGAACGCGGTGCCGCCGTCTGGGGCAGCTTTCGCTAAAGGGCGTTTTGCAGAAGGGGGTTCTGTCAGTCATCGAGTCTGGTCGTGCGGGAGCTCGGCCAGGGAGCTCGGTGCGTAGTGTGTTCCAGCGTTCTGCAGGTTGGGCAGGTGCGGCGTCTGCACACCGAGCTCCCCGGCCGGCCGAAGGACGTGGTGCAGGCATCGAGCCCCTCCCGAGGGGGGGAGGGCGCGCACGGCGTCCGCGGCCCGGCCGGCCGCCCCGCACCAAGATGGCATCGCAGATGTTGCCGCTCCCGCCGCAGGCGGGCGGCGCAGCGAATCTCCTCGGAGCTACGGCGCCGCAGACTACTCGCCTGATCGTCGACGATGCTCCTCGACGGGGGGGGGAGGAAAAAGAGGATGAGAGGAGGGGACGATGCCAATACCGCTGCCCGTCCTCGTCCTGGGGAGCCCTCGTCGTGGCTGGTGCATTATCCTCGAAATTCTGGTCAGAAAGCACTGCGGCAGAGGTTTGGGGAGCAGCGGTATCGGTATCTGCTTTGTCCCCAGAGGAGGAAAATCACGACGGGTGTTTTTGCCATTTTCGGCCCCTGGGGGCCCTTACTGGGTCTCAGGACAGCCAGAAAACGGCCCTGGATGAAAAAGTGGTCCAGGGGAATGGGTAAAGACTTCCAAAAGCGCACCTCCAGGCACAAGTCTGGGGGTCGGAGGAGGAGGAAGTGAAGGAGGAGGAGGAGGAGGAGCGCGAAGTATCGAGGCTGTTGCTCATCTTTCTTAAGCGGGGGGCCCAACGGGGTGCTCTTCGACGCGGCCAGATTCCCCTCAGCCTTCTGGTCGGAGCGCACCCCTGGGCAGGTCCTGGGGTCGAAGGTGCAGAGGGATCTGCTTCATACACCTGGCACGTCAAACAAAGAAATCGGCCTGCCAGCAGGTTCCCCACAGAAGTGTCTGGTCACCCCATGGCCCCAGGGACCCGCAGAAGCTCGGGGGCACCGTAGGACCCTCAAAGATCGGCGGGGAATGTGCCCCCAATAGCAAGGTGCCTTGTCGTGTGTACCCAATGCAGGCTTGCGCCAGCTCCGCCCACCCTCTGGGGAGTTCTTCGTCTGGCTCGCGAGTGAACGACCAGAGCTCGCTGGAGATCTGTGACGCTGCCGTCCGGAATCCAGCCGTTGCCAGTTGCTCTCGCCACAGGCGGGCGTTGCGACCCAGATATCCGATGCCCTGATTTGTTATTGCGGTGTCAGTCCCAGAGAGCTTGGCGTCGCATTTGTTTCACACCAGGCGTTCGTACAAGCTTTCATGGGCCCAGGACACTTGCGGATCGATGCGGCTCCAGGAATGCCCCAGAAAGATGGTGTCGAGGGCTCCAGTCGCGAGTCTCTGCCATGTTGAATTTTCTTGGCGACGTCGCATGTCAGGGCACAGCCCCAGAATTCGACCCCCTCGCAGGATTGGGCGCGGGTGACTGGGGGTCAGCCCTCAGCCAAGACCCCTTCGCGTCGTGAATACAAAGCGCGAAGGGAATTGTTTTGCAAATTTTGCTTTCCGAAACCCACACTAGGCCCCGTGACAGCCAAGTAACTGAACAGGATGTAGAGCGGGACCAGGAGGATGTCCCGATTTTTGGTTGCAGTACCCAGACCTCGAGGGACTCACGAACAATGTAGCCCGATGTGTTTGTTATGGAGTCGGCTTCTGGAGGCCGCTTTCGGGCCACAAGAGGGGAACACAGAATTCCCCAGTCAGTGCTTGCACTCACTGTCGGTCCCTGCGAAGGTTGGAAGATTATTGTTTGGTGTTCTTTCCCCACATCACCGCAGCGACAGAAGGACACTTTGAGTGCACTACAGCAGCAGGGCGGAAAAATGTGCGGGCTCCAGAGAGGAACCGACAATGCATTAGAACATAAGAGGAGGAGGAAGAGGAGGAGGAGGAGGAGGAGGAGGAGGAGGAGGAGGAGGAGGAGCGGGTTTTACACGACTTCTAAGCCGGCCAACGCAGGCGCCACTTCCACCGGCGTCTGCTGCAAATCGGCATAGTCGTGTAAGACGGCATGCGCTGTTGTTGCTTGTAATGCAATACCTGAAAGCCCATATCAGCGATGCAAGAAACCTAAAGTGGCACCTTTCCGCACCTGTGCATGCATTCCGCGGGTGCGCGCGGAAGCCAAACAACTAGATTGCTTTCCCTCAACTATCGTCCGTCGATTTCCGAACCACAATTTCATGATATGTGATGTCGTGTTTGCGACCTCTGTCACTTAATAAGCGGCCACCTTGATTGCCTGTCCCTGGACGTAGTCTGCCAGTACTGTACGTGAGATTGGGGATATGACGCAGACATCGTAGAATAATGGCACGCCATGAGCCACTGGTCGAGCCGACGTAAATCCCCAGCAGGCACTGGGACGTGGCTATTCCGCAGCAAACGCTCTACGTTACGATCCGATGTGTATCCACCACCTTCCGTAAGTACTTGCCTCCATGCCGCTACCATTTTGGTGTGGCGCGGATGGAGGCGAGCCCCTCCGTTGTCGGCCAATCTTGAAAACCCGTGCGGGTCTGTCCCATCGCAGATCACCGCCAGCCCCAGACGTCGCCGTAGGGCACACCTGAATGTTTTGTTGCCGCACGTCGTTGCGGGCGTCGTGGGACAGATCCTAAGCGAGACGCTCGAAAATGGTCCCTTGCACGATTGCAACCGTGATTTGCCTTTCGAAGCAGCATTCACCTGAAATCGCTGTGCTAGCAGATTTCGTAGCAAACGTTGATGAGCAGAGCCTTCTACCGCATTTGATGCGTGAAATTGCCACCCATGTGCCCACTCCCCTAAAGTGAGGGGGTCTTCCGTTGTGTCCAGCGGGCCTGGAGGCCGGAGGCCGGTTGCAATATCATTCCACGCAGGCCCTTCTGTCCATCCACCATTGGTTGCACATTGTCCCAGCTTGTTCAGCATGAACCAAGCACGCAAGTCCACAAGGCACCGTGTCCGCAAGGGAATTTTGGATTGCCGACAAATTGAAAACAATTTTTCGGGCTTTGCTGGGGAATCTCTGTAAGAGCTCAGAAAGAGAATCTGCCCAGCTCGCCCAGAATGTCGCAGGCGCGGTCCTAGTAGCACTCCGCAAAACCATACCCCCAAATCGTAGTGGGAGTGTCGCTTGAGAAACCCAATTGTCGCATGTAACCCCATGCAAATCGAAATTACAGACATCGGCCGTGGCGGTACCAAAGGGTATTTGGAACACTTCCAATATTCTGCGGTCGTGGGGCGCCGTGGCGATACGAGCTAAGTGTGGTGGCGACGTGCGAAGAAGGTGGTTGTTATTCAGGACAGCGCAATTCTACAGCAGGGGCCACGCCGCCTGGAGAGAGGGGCGCTTTTGGTATGTGTTGTAGCAGCTTTTCACTCTCACCAGCCAGGTGTCCCCCAAATGATGCAATAGATGCTTCCGTCCCGAAAGGCGTCCCCAGAGTGTTGATTCCTCGTTCCGGTAATGGTTTGTCGCATTTCCACGCGTCAGGCGTAATGTTTGCCAATTTTTTCGGACAAGGTGTTTCTGTCGGTCCCCAATTGCCAGCTTGTCAGCATTAACATCGACATGGCATGATATTGATAGTTGGGGGCGCACCGACGACAATACATAGTCAACTCCGTCTTGGCCGCAGATGATGTAAATATCGTCCAAGTACGCAATGATCTCAGCCCCAGGTGGTAATTTGTTGCGGATTTGCTTTAGAGCAATACCAATTGCCAGTCAAAACAGGGCAGGCATAAGAGCAACTCCTTGTTCGTCTCCGTCACCTTGCGGGATCGTGTGAGCCCAGCCTTGTGCGTCGACCCATTTAAATGCAAACGTGACCCCGTATCATAGGCACACAGAGGGATTGAGGCCATGTAGTTCTGGATTTCTCTATAATGCCTCAAACACGCGTGCTCTGCATAGTAGTCAATGGCACCAACCCCATCGATACTGACAATTACCTTTTGTGGATTCGCATTGCTAAGGTGTTGTTGCAGCAGATCAACGGCCGAGTCGGTTCCCGGCCGATTTCGGTGAGCGGCCGGGTTCCCGGGTTCCCAGTTCCAGGTTCCCCCGTTCCCGGTTGTTGGTTTCGGGCTGATTTCGGCGGACGGCAGGGTTCCCAGGGTTCCAATTTTCCCGGTTGTTTGGGTTCCTAGTCGATCTCATGATCGATGTCATTATCGACCTCACTATCCATCTCACTCAATCGATCTCACTACCAATCTCATTCTCGATATGGTTGTCGTTCTCACGATCGATCTCATTGTCGATCACACGATTTGAGTCATTATCGACTTCACCATCGATATCACGATTGATCTCACGAACGGTCACACGATCGGTTTCACAATCGCTCTCACTATCGGTCTCACGATCGATGTCATCATCGATGTCACTAGCGATCTCACGATCGGTGTCACTTAATCGATCGCACTATCGATATAACTATTGATCTCCTTACCGATCGCACTATCGGTCTCACTATCGATCTCACTCAATCGATGTCATTCAGGCGACCTCACGATCGATCCCACGATCGAACACGATCGATCTCACGATCGATTTCACCATAGATCCCACTCAATCGAGATCATTAACGATCTCACGAACGATATCTGTATCGACCTGTTTATCGATATCACTATCGTTCTCACGATCGATCTCACTCAATCGACCTCACGACCAATCTCACAATCGATGCCACTATCAATCTCACGATGGGTCTCCCTTTCGATCTCACTCCATGCAGCATAGCATAGAGATAGCACGGGACACCCCAAGCCACGGGACACCACGGGACACCATCGGGACGCCGTCGGGATACCATCGAGACACCGACGGGACACCATCGGGACACCACAGCGCCATTACTGGCCAACCCAGTGGGCAGCAACTTTTGGTTCGTCTTATCCTTGGCAACGGCGGGTTCTTTCCTCTCGCCCGCCCACGCAACTCGCCTCGCCCACACGCGCGAAACGAACGTGAATCCGAAACCGATCTCCCGGTGGAGCGCGGTCCCCCACTTCATTGCGACCTCCCCCTCCAACCTCCGTTGTGTGTATATATATATACCTATACGACCACCCTTCGGGTGATAAGGAGACTGTGGGGGGAGGAGAGAGGGGGGAACCAACATCTGAGTCAATCGATCTCACTATCGGTCTCACTCAATGGAACACCACGGGACACCACGGGACACTTGTCGATCTCACTATCGATCTCACTATCGATCTCACTCAACGGGACATCACGGGACACCGCGGGCCACCACGG